TATAAACATGATACATAAAATTTGTGTGTAAATAGATTTTTACTCATTAATTTTATAAAAAAAAAGTGTTTTTTAGGTGGGATCACATTTTAAAAATATAGTTTGACTACTAAAATTATTAAAATGCCTTTAATAAAAATTTTTGTTATATCTATTAATTAAAGGTAATTTAATAATTTTAATATTAGGATTATATATTAAATATACTGCTTGAACTGAAATACATAAATCTCTTGATTTTATTGATCATGGCTTAGTTTATGTTGGGGCGCTGCTGCATCCAAGAAGGTATCTCTAGATTTTAGAAGCAACATCTTCTCTTTTTTTTTTCTTGAAAAAACTACTTAATAAATGTTATCAAGAATATCTAGTTTTAACATCTCCATTTTAATTATCAAATGTCTCATTTGTTTCCCAAGAAAATCAAGGTGCTCCCTTCTCGTTTTCCCAACCAAAAAAAAAAATCAATAAAAACAGCACATAAGACACTTAACATTCTGTTTTTTTATAGCACAAAATTCAAATCCCCAGAACTAGATAATATATAAGACATTGAAATGAACAAGATAGAAAACAAGACAAAAGTTAATTAAAGGTTGTTTTTATTGATTTCTGTTAATGATGGTACAAGAGACAGAACCAAAAAAGAAAATGCATTTTTTCAGATAAGTACCTCAAGATCTCACTTAGAATTTCCAAATTCATATAGTCAGATCCAGAGTACTTACCCTTCCTGAATTCTCCTTACTATGATCTTTTTCTTTCAATCTGCTAAGCTTCGAGGACGAAGGCGAGCACAAAGACAAACATAATTCACTCTCCAAATCATTGTCATCAGCATCCTTTTGCTTACACTCTTGATCATGGTTCCCTTGTGTTAGCCTTAGAGACAGATCCAAGTCCAGGCTGCAAACCGGCGCCTTCCGTTTCATGGACTTGCTGCTCTCCGGTGAGTTGAAGTCACCGGAGGGAGGGATGATGCTTCGACTAAAAGCAACATTATCTTTTATCAATTTCGGTAGGGGTTGGAAGCTCTCATGATTTTGGTGAGTACTTTTCCAGATAGGCAATGGAGCAAAAGGGGAAGTGCCCGTAGGCCCCGTACTGAAATTATAATTAGGCCAACAGTTGCTGCTGCTGCTGCTGCTACCTAAAATCCTCCCCGTGACACTTCCATGCAATAACCCTTGATCGGGAAAAATCCGGCCGGTATAAGGATTTCGAATTAAGTATTCTCTTGCAGCACTCCATGATGTGTCTCCAAATCTTGAAATTAAAAAACAAAATTTTGAATTGAAATTATTAATTTTCTGATTGGAAAGTATGTGTATTATAATGTTATCAAGTGATTTAATTAACTTTGTATATATACCTGAAATTGGGAGCATCAGCTCGATTATATCCTTGCAACATGGGAAGTTGGCTGAGGTTATAAATATTTGGATCTCCACTTTCCACAAGATGTCTATGATCTGTTATGACTGTCAGGAAAAAGAAGCATGGATGCATTAGGGACCCTTGATCGAAAGCCCTAAAAAAAAAAAAAAAACAAGGGCAAAATGAAGAAAAGAAAAGAAAAAAAATACAGAATTGGGCCTATACCTTGTCCTGGATCATCAATCTTCTTGCTTCTATACATCTAAGAAAAATTAAAAAAAAAAAAAAGGAAATCAAATGATTAATTGGATGAATTACTAAGAAATGAATTTATAGATTTTTGTAATTTTATCAAGTAATAACCTGGAGATGGCTCTTTACATGAGCAATACTAAGCCCTTTGATGTTCATCAGTTGAAGAACCAACTTAGGTGTTGCTCCTGCAGCAAACATTTATTCATAACATGATTAATTCTCCATGAATAAATTATAAAAGTAATTAATTGAGATCAAATGAATATATACAGCATGTAGCTAGAACTCACTATCTTGTCCTCCAAGTCTTTCCACGGCATGAACAAATCGGAGATGGAGATCAGGGGTCCACCGGAGCCTAGGCATCTTGGATCTGACATAGGGCCTGACAGTCGGCTTCTTGTCATTCTCCTCCACTGTGCTGTTGCTTGAGCTTCCACCATTTTTAGGCTTACTTTCGCCCTCTCCACTCTCGCTCTCCTCCTGATCATTTTGGTTACACGGACTTGTCTTTGAGCATCCAGTGCCCTCCATCTCCTTATCTAGCTATAGCTAATTCAACTCTCTCTTTTTCTTTGCAAGTATAAGAAACTATAACAATAATTCTATAAATACACAAGAAAGAATATACATCAATCGATCATAATTAACTAGGAAACAAGCTAGGGTTTTCCAAGTTGCTCATTCTCAAGGCTTATACGCTTTACTCATATTCTTCTATGGAAAGAACATAGAGAAAACTATTTCCCAGAAGAAAAGAAACATCATTGAACAAGCCAAAACCAGAAGGAGGAGGTTAACAATTCTATGAACAAAGAAAAACGAGGATGGAAAACCTAGATCTTGATAGGGGAAGACATATATAAAACCTTTTAATTCCCTCTCTCTTTTCTCTATTGGAACAAGTAGAGAATTGTTTACATACATATACTCTTGTGTATATATTTTATTTGGGGAATATGTACCATGCAAAAGACATACATGATACATGCAACATGCATGAATGTGATTGTGATGCCATGCAAATTAAAAAAATAATAATAATCAAGAACATTATTGTAGCCAATGAAATCTTACAACAATGGTAAGATATGGGTTTACCTTGAGATTTTAAGTTGAATTCATACTAATAATTATTTGCAGATTTAATTCGATCAACTCTGTGTTTTTGTCTTGAAAACAAGTTTACCTTTATATATTGTAACATAAGTTTTAATTGGTCCACCATTGAAAAAAATTGTAGAAAGAAGCATACGGGGTTGAAATTGACTCATGTGGATTTCTTTCTACCACTTTAACTTGGTTAGAAGAACACCAGATTTAAAACACAAAGAGAAAGAGTACAAACACATGGGGCTAGCTAGACTTGACTTCATGTGGGTTTCTTTGTACCATTTTAACTTCACTAGAAAAACTTTGGATTTAGAATACCTAAAAGAGCAGTCTTGATCTAAAGAAATTAATATATAAAATGAAGAGATGATCGATGTGTAAACCAGAGATGCATGGCGTCAGAGGAAAAATAAAAATTCCTCACTAATTCGAGAAAAGACAAGAATTTTTTAATTAATCAGTAGTAAATTTTAAAACTATTTTTATCGGAATTTGATTTGAACTGTATGAACATCAAAGTAGACTTTTGTTCCCTTCCGCAACATGAAAAAGAGAAGACTTTAGAACCTGATCTTGGCCGCCGGATTGAAATTCTTCCCACTCTTTAATTAATTATTAATTGAGTACATATGTTCCTTATTCCGTAAGTCTAATTAAGACTCAAGTTGTTACAAATTAAACCTCAGAAAAAAAAATTAAAAAAAATAAAAAAAGAAAAAAAGAAAAAAGGACTCAAGTTGTTTACAGGTATTATAGCCATTCTAGTCATTTCGCTTCAATATCCCTCCCTCTCTCAGTTTCTTCCTTAACCCAAATAAGTTAACCCAAATAAGTTAAGCCTCAAGATGTTATGGACATTTTAGTTATGAAAAATTGTGGATGTATTATTTGATTTAACAAACTCATGAACATCTACGGATTTAATAATTAAAATTTGAAACAGTTAGTTTTTAAATAATAATTTTTTAATAAATATATTATGCAATATATTGAATTAAAGAATATCTATATCAGTGTCCTTTAGTTATTTTTAGTTCAAATTGATATTTTGTTTTGCAATTTACACTTAAAAGAGCATAAATATTCTTAATGGAAATTAATTGATATAACTTCAGATTTAATACATCTTCAGATTCAATATACTCGCTAACATTTATTGATTTAATCATTAAATTTTATAATTGAAATTTTTTCTACCTTAAATTCAAATTTGAAAGTAATAATCTTTTAAAAAGTATGTTGTAAAATATATTAAATCAGATAGTTTATCAATTATTATCCTTTCTTAATTTATGTATGAAATTATTGAATATAATAGACGGGCCAGAACTATGAAGAAAATCTGGGACAGGGCCTCATTTTTCAACTGCACCCTTTGGTTATTGTTGTTGTTGTTTCCTTTTTCTTTTCTTTTCTTTTCTTTTCTTTTTTTTTTTTTTTTTTTTTCTTTTTTGCTAAAATTTTGTGGCCCAAGAGAGAGGACTTCAGAGAGATCATCAATTAAAGTTGTCATTGAGGTAATAAAATCAAGTACTGAAACCTCAAAAAGAGTTAAGAAATTGACTTGTATGTATAGTTCTGATCAATATGTCTTGATGAAATTAAGTTTTCGAAGAAATAAATGTGGCCAAGGTCTAAAAAAAAAAGAAGAAATAAATGCAGCATTTTGAGCAGTAATGCTGGTCGGATGTGCATGTGTTGCTGATGCAGACCCAAACTCGAAAGAAGATACTAAATTTGTCTTTACAACGGGAATCACGGACTATATGTTCATGTTCCTCCTCGAGAAAATGTAATAAGCTCACTTTGGCTTTATTGCTAATTCATCAAAGAAATATTTTATCTCAATTAATCAAGCCATATATACTCCCACACATATTTCTCAAAAAAATAATTTCTCGTAAATTTTTTTAACTCTTCCACACATTTGCGTTTTTATCACATCAAAACAAGTATCTAGATTCTTTCTTCTTTTTCTTTTCTTTTTTCTTTTGCCAACAAATTTTCTTCTATTCATTTAAAGATCAAAAAGACCCCAGTACATAAGGACCTTAATTTTTTATGAAGGGCTACAGAAAATGATGCTTTTAATGGAACTTTTTCATTCCTCCCACGTGTTACAGCTAACCATGCAATTCATGAACTAGTATAGAATGCCATTCCCATCACTCACAAGCATCCCACCATATATTGCAGAATCTTTTTCTCTACTAACTCCAATTAATTTTTTTCCCAATTAAAATTTAATAGTTTTGTTCTAAATTTTGAAATGGTTATAACTAATTTTGTATCAAATTAGGAATGTAATTAAGTATCTCTGTTTCTTCTTAGTGGATGAATAAACATGATTAATTCTCAAACATACCGATTAATTAAATTACATTATCATGTTTATCAGAAAAGCATATTTTTAGAATGTTTTAATCAAAATTCTAGGATGAGGACTGGAGCACAAGTAGACATGAAAACAGAGGATCAAAATATCAAAATAATTAAAAAATGAGGGGTTGGCATGTAAAGAATCACTGGCTTGTGAAGTCAACCCTTAATTGTACCTCTCTGCCCTTTTTCTTATCATAAATATATATTTTAATCAATAATTAAAGTTTTGCATGAGAATACGTGAACCTATTAATGCGGATCTGTCGTCGTTTAGAATGAGCATGTCTGTCGTTTTATACCCAGTTTGATTATTAATTTAATTTTAATTTAATCATGAATCATGCAGCCTGATGCAGTACATTACATTTGCCAGATGGCATAGTGATATCATCATCATCATCATACGTTACCATGTCCACATCATGGACCATGCATGCATGCCAGTTTTTTTTTTTTTTTTTTGCAAATAAAAAAATGAAATTAGAAATTTGGAGTTTCAAAGAAGCTTCACAACTGCCCATCTATTTTATTTTTATTTATTGATTGGGTAGGTGAAGGTAGCAGATACATATATTAATTATTTAAAACTACTGAAATGATGATAGATAAGAATATGGTAGCTAGACTGATGTTTTCAAGAAAGTTAAGGGCATAATGCACAGAGATTTTCTTGCAAAGTTAGGGCCCTGTCAATATGACATGGGATGATGGGAATATGGGATATTCCTAAAATTCAAGTTTTTTTTTTCTTGAAATACCACTACTTCTGTACCGTGCACAAGGCCAAGGCATTATTGACATTTAATCCAAATTAACTCTCTTTTTTCATGTGGTAAACAAATAATCGTTTTTTTTTTTAACAAAAGAATGTTGCTCTAATTTTTAGTTGATGTAGCTGATAAAAAAACAGTTGATATATAATAATTAATTTGATTTTCTAAATTATAAATATAAATTTAAATCCAAATTTTGTGTGTGAGCTTAAACTCAAAAATTATAAGCAACTCATTTATATAAATTAAAGTTAATAATCAAAGTTAGATATGGAGGTTTTTTTTTTTTTTTTTTTCTAAATTATAAATATAAATTTAAATCCAAATTTTGTGTGTGAGCTTAAACTCAAAAATTATAAGCAACTCATTTATATAAATTAAAGTTAA